ATTTTTGCCCGCCAGCTGCGAAAATCGCATGTTTTTGGCCGCTAGTGGCGAAAATCGCGCGGTTTTTGGCCGGTAGCGGCGAAAATCGCGCTATTGTTGCCCGCCAGCCGCAAAAATCGCATAGTTTTTGGCCGCTAGCGGCGAAAATCGCGCGATTTTTGGCCGCTAGCGTCGAAATTTGCACGATTTTTGGCCGCTAGCCGCGAAAATCGCCCCATTTTTGGCCGCTAGCGGCGAAAATTGCCCTTTTTTGGCCGCTAGCGGCGAAAATCGGTCGATTTTTGGCAGGTATTGGCGAAATTCGCGCGATTTTTGCCCGCCAGCTGCAAAAATCGCATGGTTTCTGGCCGCTAGCGTCGAAAATAGCGCGGTTTTTGGCCGTTATGGTTTCTGGCCGCTAGCGTCGAAAATAGCGCGGTTTTTGGCCGTTAGCCGAAAATAGCGCGGTTTTTGGCCGTTAGCCGAAAACCGCCCGATTTTTGGCCGCTAGCGGCGAAAATCGCGCTATTTTTGGCCGGTAGCGGCGAAAATCGCGATTTTTGCCCGCCAGCTGCGAAAATCGCATGTTTTTGGTCGCTAGCGGCGAAAATCGCGCGGTTTTTGGCCGGTAGCGGCGAAAAACGCGCTATTATTGCCCGCCAGCTGCATAAATCGCATAGTTTCTGGCCGCTAGCAGCGAAATTCGCGCGATTTTTGCCCGCCAGCTGCAAAAATCGCATGGTTTCTGGCCGCTAGCATCGAAAATAGCGCGGTTTTTGGCCGTTAGCCGTAAAAACCGCCCGATTTTTGGCCGCTAGCGGCGAAAATCGCGCTATTTTTGGCCGGTAGCGGCGAAAATCGCGATTTTTGCCCGCCAGCTGCGAAAATCGCATGTTTTTGGCCGCTAGCGGCGAAAATCGCGCGGTTTTTGGCCGGTAGCGGCGAAAAACGCGCTATTATTGCCCGCCAGCTGCATAAATCGCATAGTTTCTGGCCGCTAGCAGCGAAAATCGCGCGATTTTTGGCCGCTAGCGGCGAAATTCACACGATTTTTGGCCGCCAACGACGAAATTTGCACGATTTTTGGCCGCTAGCGACGAAAATCGCCACATTTTTCGCCGCTAGCGGTGAAAATAGCCCCTTTTTTGGTTGCTAGCGGCGAAAATCGGTCGATTTTTGGCAGGTAGCGGCGAAATTCGCGCGATTTTTGCCCGCCAGCTAAAAAATCGCATGGTTTCTGGCCGCTAGCGTCGAAAATAGCGCGGTTTTTGGCCGTTAGCCGCAAAAATCGGCCGATTTTTGGCCGCTAGCGGCGAAAACCGCACGGTTTTTGGCCGCAAGCGGCGAAAATCGCGCTATTTTTGGCCGGTAGCGGCGAAAATCGCGATTTTTGACGCCAGCTGCGAAAATCGCATGTTTTTGGCCGCTAGCGGCGAAAATGGTGCGGTTTTTGGCCAGTAGCGCCGAAAATCGCGCTATTTTTGCCCGCCAGCTGAAAAAATCGCAAAGTTTCTGGCCGCTAGCGGCGAAAATCGCACGATTTTTGGCCGCTAGCGGCGAAAATAGCCCCATTTTTGGCCGCTAGCGGCGAAAATAGCCCCTTTTTTGGCCGCTAGCGGCGAAAATAGCCCTTTTTTGGTTGCTAGCGGCGAAAATCGGTCGATTTTTGGCCGGTAGCGTCGAAATTTGCACGATTTTTGGCCGCTAGCGGCGAAAATAGCCCCTTTTTTGGCCGGTAGCGGCGAAAATCGGTCGATTTTTGGCAGGTAGCTGCGAAATTCGTGCGATTTTTGCCCGCCAGCTGCAAAAATCGCATGGTTTCCGGCCGCTAGCGTCGAAAATAGCGCGGTTTTTGGCCGTTAGCGGCAAAAATCGGCCGATATTTGGCCGCTAGCGGCGAAAACCGCACGGTTTTTGGCCGCAAGCGGCGAAAATCGCGCTGTTTTTGGCCGGTAGCGGCGAAAATCGCGATTTTTGCACGCCAGCTGCGAAAATCGCATGGTTTTTGGCCGGTAGAGGCGAAAATCGCGCTATTTTTGGCCGGTAGCGGCGAAAATCGCGATTTTTGCCCGCCAGCTGCGAAAATCGCATGTTTTTGGCCGCTAGTGGCGAAAATCGCGCGGTTTTTGGCCGGTAGCGGCGAAAATCGCGCTATTTTTGCCCGCCAGCTGCATAAATCGCATAGTTTCTGGCCGCTAGGAGCGAAAATCGCGCGATTTTTGGCCGCCAGCGGCGAAATTCACACGATTTTTGGCCGCCAGCGACGAAATTTGCACGATTTTTGGCCGCTAGGGACGAAAATCGCCACATTTTTGGCCGCTAGCGGCGAAAATAGCCCCTTTTTTGGTCGCTAGCGGCGAAAATCGGTCGATTTTTGGCCGGTAGCGGAGAAAATCGCGATTTTTGCCCGCCAGCTGCGAAAATCGCATGTTTTTGGCCGCTAGTGGCGAAAATCGCGCGGTTTTTGGCCGGTAGCGACGAAAATCGCGCTATTGTTGCCCGCCAGCCGCAAAAATCGCATAGTTTTTGGCCGCTAGCGGCGAAAATCGCGCGATTTTTGGCCGCTAGCGTCGAAATTTGCACGATTTTTGGCCGCTAGCCGCGAAAATCGCCCCATTTTTGGCCGCTAGCGGCGAAAATTGCCCTTTTTTGGCCGCTAGCGGCGAAAATCGGTCGATTTTTGGCAGGTATTGGCGAAATTCGCGCGATTTTTGCCCGCCAGCTGCAAAAATCGCATGGTTTCTGGCCGCTAGCGTCGAAAATAGCGCGGTTTGTGGCCGTTAGCCGTAAAAACCGCCCGATTTTTGGCCGCTAGCGGCGAAAATCGCGCTATTTTTGGCCGGTAGCGGCGAAAATCGCGATTTTTGCCCGCCAGCTGCGAAAATCGCATGTTTTTGGCCGCTAGCGGCGAAAATCGCGCGGTTTTTGGCCGGTAGCGGCGAAAAACGCGCTATTATTGCCCGCCAGCTGCATAAATCGCATAGTTACTGGCCGCTAGCGGCGAAAATAGCCCTTTTTTGGTTGCTAGCGGCGAAAATCGGTCGATTTTTGGCCGGTAGCGTCGAAATTTGCACGATTTTTGGCCGCTAGCGGCGAAAATCGCCCCATTTTTGGCCACTAGCGGCGAAAATAGCCCCTTTTTTGGCCGGTAGCGGCGAAAATCGGTCGATTTTTGGCAGGTAGCTGCGAAATTCGTGCGATTTTTGCCCGCCAGCTGCAAAAATCGCATGGTTTCCGGCCGCTAGCGTCGAAAATAGCGCGGTTTTTGGCCGTTAGCGGCAAAAATCGGCCGATATTTGGCCGCTAGCGGCGAAAACCGCACGGTTTTTGGCCGCAAGCGGCGAAAATCGCGCTGTTTTTGGCCGGTAGCGGCGAAAATCGCGATTTTTGCACGCCAGCTGCGAAAATCGCATGGTTTTTGGCCGGTAGAGGCGAAAATCGCGCTATTTTTGGCCGGTAGCGGCGAAAATCGCGATTTTTGCCCGCCAGCTGCGAAAATCGCATGTTTTTGGCCGCTAGTGGCGAAAATCGCGCGGTTTTTGGCCGGTAGCGGCGAAAATCGCGCTATTTTTGCCCGCCAGCTGCATAAATCGCATAGTTTCTGGCCGCTAGGAGCGAAAATCGCGCGATTTTTGGCCGCCAGCGGCGAAATTCACACGATTTTTGGCCGCCAGCGACGAAATTTGCACGATTTTTGGCCGCTAGGGACGAAAATCGCCACATTTTTGGCCGCTAGCGGCGAAAATAGCCCCTTTTTTGGTCGCTAGCGGCGAAAATCGGTCGATTTTTGGCAGGTAGCGGCGAAATTCGCGCGATTTTTGCCCGCCAGCTGCAAAAATCGCATGGTTTCTGGGCGCTAGCGTCGAAAATAGAGCTGTTTTCGGCCGTTAGCGGCAAAAATCGCCCGATTTTTGGCCGCTAGCGGCGAAAACCGCACGGTTTTTGGCCGCAGGCGGCGAAAATCGCGCTATTTTTGGCCGGTAGCGGCGAAAATCGCGATTTTTGCACGCCATCTGCGAAAATCGCATGGTTTTTGGCCGCTAGAGGAGAAAATCGCGCTATTTTTGGCCGGTAGCGGCGAAAATCGCGTTTTTTGCCCGCCAGCTGCGAAAATCACATGGTTTTTGGCCGCTAGAGGCGAAAATCGCGCTATTTTTGGCCGCTAGCGGCGAAAATCGCGCGGTTTTTGGCTGGTAGCGGCGAAATTCGCATGATTTTTGGCCGCTAGCGTCGAAATTTGCACGAGTTTTGGCCGCTAGGCGCGAAAATCGCCCCATTTTTGGCCGCTAGCGGCGAAAATTGCCCTTTTTGGCCGCTAGCGGCGAAAATCGGTCGATTTTTGGCAGGTAGCGGCGAAATTCGCGCGATTTTTGCCCGCCAGCTGCAAAATCGCAGTGTTTCTGGCCGCTAGCGTCGAAAATAGCGCGGTTTTTGGCCGTTAGCCGCAAAAATCGCACGGTTTTTGGCCGCTAGCCGCAAAAATCGCACGGTTTTTGGCCGCTAGCGGCCAAAATTATTGTATATAATTTATTCATATCATTTTATATTTTTTATAATATAATAATGTTTATAGTATATTATTTCTATAAATATAATATACATATATTCGGATTTGTTACTTTTTACCTCTGTAGTCCGTCACCGGAGTGGGTGGGTACTTATATAGAGGGCAATACAACGATCCTAACAGGTTTTTGCGATTCTCGTACAGCATGGGCCGAGAAGCGCGTTCTGGCTACTAGGCTCGATAACATATTACATCTACACTGACGCTGGAAGGTGAATGTCGAGTATATGCATCACGTCATAAGCGTTCTAAAATAAAATTCCTACTTCTCTCGTATTGCCATCCTATCTCTGATATCAATTGTGCAGTACTTTGCGTTATAATGATAGGCAATTTATTTCATTCATCTTTACATTCCCTTGTATTTGTCCATTATGAATACTAAACATGCACGATATACATTGGTTAACTTAAAATAAAACAGCATAAAATGACAATTTGCCATCATCTTTGTATATTTATTTCTGACTCAACGTTAAATACACCAAATTAATAGCCAACAAAATCATCTTATATTTCCTTGTGACAGTATATGCGTCATGTGAGGTTCCTTTAAGGACACACATAATGTCACAAACAATGTGCATAAAGACGGATTTTCGACCTGTTTCTTTTTATCACTACTCGCTAACATAATACATTTACCATCTTTCTTTTCCTCTCTATTGGACAAGTGCACAATGAAATGGTATACATTACACTCTCTGAGACGTCGCTGTCTTACACATCAATCATCTACTTTATTCTCTCATCACAACTCCATATCTATAACAAATATTTTATTATTCAACAATACTAAATATATTTCTCGTACAAACATGTTGCAACGTTTATTTCAATGACCGCATAATCACTACATTTAACGAAACCCGAAACTAGTACTCATCATATAATTCTATTAAAATTAAGTACACTAACCATCTTGACAGACAAGTAACAAAAATGACAAAGTAAGACCCCTAACATTCTCTTTACTTAGTCATCGTCTTCACAATTTACTCAAAGCCCAATATTTCCTATGTAACATACCAACCTTCATTACTATTTGTCATTTCTTCGACCACATGCCTAACTATCGAAATTCATTCGTGCAAATACCAAACATCTTAATACCTTCTTTTCAACTATTACATGCACTGCAAATTTTACCTTAACCATCAAACTAGCCAATGCACTACTATTCTCTGCAACGCTAACTTTCATTTAAACATATCTTACAAATACCATATTCCCTACTATCTCATTTTCACCTTATTTCATATCAACCTCATACATAACCCTTATTACTCTATTTTCTCATTTTATTCACTCCATGTTCCACTCTACTATTTTTAAACGCTAATCCCTGCAGACATTACATTTCTATACGAACTTTCGTCTTACTTTCAACACTCACAATGTCTACTCATTTACTTCTTACAACAAACTTTATTCCACAAAATACTACCAACATCACATTTTTATTCTAACATTTACTCTTGTAGACTATCAAAACCTACTCACGCCATGACCCCTCATTCTTTTACTCCTTACATGGAAAACCCTCAAATTCAACCAGTATTATAAACACGTGCCACCCATAAAACATCTTCCAAACTCATTCATTAACCTTCGACTAAATTCTCATCACCAGACACTTCATGTCGCCGATCATCTAGTTTATATACACTACTACTGTCCCTCAGCTACACTTATGCAAGGTACGGGTAACATTTTCAATTTATGCCGTCTATACATGCATACTCATCCGGTCTATTCTAATTACAGTTTGTTGCTATTATTTCCAAATCAACACCTTTACATAGCCAACAATATAGTATCTCACTGAAAGTTTATTAACAACCACCTCTATAACTAATATTATATCAACCAAACACTCCGCCCACCATCTTCAGTCATGCAATATTTCCCTCGTGTAAACCTAATATTCACTCTTAACCATTACTACAAACTATTTACATTTTGCCCACACTTTCAACCCGTCCAGCAAAACACTCAATTCCGCTACCTATACTATACGGCTCTTCACGTAGCCTGCCGCACGATGTCACCAACATTTTCATTTCATTCACCATTACCTTTCTCCATAATCAAACGCTAACGTCATTCATTTCTTACTACGTGAACCTCAAACTAAACATTTACTCACAGTTTCCCCTTATATATACTTCAAATAACAGTATCTCATAAAGGCCTATACAAACAATTCGTTTTCTTAATTTCACCAATTCAAACTGTTCTATTCACCTAACCTAAATTGTTTGACTTTTTACGCACACCAACACCTTCAAAACTAATGTACCACGCAATCCTTCAACCTTACACACCAAACTACTCCCCCCCCCCCCCCACACATTTAACTTCAACAAATAACACACGAACACCTTTTACTCTAATAACGCAACGAACATTCGATTTATCAAATATGTCTTTGTACTACAAAAAATACAGGTCATCAACTTCACGCCCGTACCACCTGTTGGCTGCTCCTTCTCCCAGACGGCCCACGAGTCCTGCAACACAAATTATATTCTTATCACGATTTAAGTTAATCAGCCCTCTACCATACGCTCATTGTACATCATTTCCTCTAATCAACTTCAACAAATATTTATCTGTCAACATTACTACACCTCAATCTTATTGCATTCTTAAATAACACATCCATATTCATTGCCCTCGCGCCCCATTAATAAATGCACAAGGGCCGTGACAACGATGCGACGCTACCTTAATCGACATGGTACAACGAGTACAACATAACTCCCTGAAGCCTCTCACAGCCACAAACCACCGTCACTCCATTAAGGCACTGTCTCGGATGCTCTACGACGCACATTCAAGTCTTTCTCACGGCCCTTGTCCATTTCTCATTTTTCTGTGCCCCTCTTCCCATTAGTGCGTAATTACAAATTTTACTTCCTTCACCATTTCTTATTTCACGAATACTACCCAACCTTCCGCCCGCTATATGTACTTTGGATACCCATCCATAATAATATCACTCACAATATCCATCAATCACATTTCGATACAAAATATTTTCTTCTCTACAAGACATGTAAATACGTTATACATTTCATACTTCACCCACACAACTAAAAATGACGCTTATATGCCTGCCCTACCTATATTGTACGCTAATGCACCATCCACATTCATCAATTATTACTTGATTCCCTCCTTTCGTCAAGGTTGCAAACACCATCGCCTAGGGGCCATGATGTTTGAAAAAAACATTCAAAAGCAGAGGTGCAACACCTACTATCAACTTCAGAGGCCCGAGACTGTTCAACACGCTTCCACTACACACAAGGGGCATAACTGGCCGAACAATCACACTGTTAGAGAGAACTGGATCAACCAGGCTGCGAGCACCCGCATCTAACAGCCACGAGGCCTCGTCGACCGGGCCAAGCCTCTTACTTCGGTCTCTGACTCGTTCCCCTTTACATGCAATTTCTTCAAAAACGGTTTGCACCTACTTTGCGAAAATATGCATATTTAAATCAATTCATCAGCCAACCATACTTCACATTCTCCATCTATTTTCCTTCTATATGCTCTTACATTTTTCAAACCTTTGCTCCCACTGTACCTTGTCACCCGCTACCCACAATCATGACTAGCACATTATATTTATATCTATGAAATCATGACTTTCAAATCAAATCTCTTCACTAACTGAATACAATAATTGCAACTGAAACCTTTAATATTCTATTGGTGTTTTTATTGCAATTCAACAGCCATGTTTCACCTGCTGACACACAACTAAATTTTTTTTCTTCACAATGAAGATAATTTTTCACTTATATTTCACACCAATCATGATCAGTGCACAAACAACATTTTTCCCTTTTTCTACATATCGCACAAATCTCTCATTTTCAGACTCCTCTTCCTGAACTACATTTTCACTTCCCAACGTAAACAAATAATATTCTTTTTCTCCTATCCAATGCTGTCATTCAAAAACTAGTCGAGAATGACGCATATTGACTTTTCCCCTTTATACCTGCCTAATTTTCAAACATTTTTCCCCCAAAAACAATTCTTTCAAGTGCGCCTACTCTACACATATATACATATACAACATTTCCTATTGCATCACTACATAATATTCTTGTTATACATCACACCATTTCCTGAGGAGCAAGTGATCAACTAATTTATCCTTATTTTACCATGCATCGCTACCCAAACTCATTACACTCCTGTATTCCTCACTAACTAATTTCCTGGTATGCAAATTTTCACACCTATCTGCCCACTACTTGTCATTTAACAAAAAGTCACAATTGGTATTTGCACATTCAATATCTACATGTTATTTAACAACCAATTCACATTCATCTCTAATATTTTGCACTCATTTGTGGGACGTGTCAACGCCATCTTAATCAATATTTTCATGCAGTTTGTACACGGTCAAATGCCAGCATACGTTACTTTGTGATTTAACAGGATTTTTATTACATGTCATTCAAACGATTCTCTCAATTTCGGATGGAACCACATCAGATTTTAATTCTACATCACTTTCCGAAACATGTTTACTACCGTTATTTACAACCTGTGTGTTCATACCCTCCGATTACCTCATACTAAATATATAGTGTTAACATGACAACATACTAAACTAGCACTTATAGGGCTTAGTTAACCCATATGCTTTAACCACATTTATTAACACAAACAAAAAATTCTATCCCTCAACCCTACAGATTTCCTATGTCCATATCCTACATTTGGTCTAAAGTACCTTATTCATAACTCTACTTTATAATCTTCCCGCAAAACTACCACGTTGGTACAACTTTTAACACCTAACCACCTAAAACAACCAATATAGCAAGTTGTAACAAGCGGAACATAGAAACTTTTCCCGTTTGTGTTTCCAGGGTTATCACTCCTTGCTCTTCTCTCTACCAATAAAGTATTCTTCCCTCGACATGTCGGCCGCCTCCTCCACACTGCATTCATCTCTGAACGTCACGTCTCCCGTCACTTTGATGGGTCAACTTCACCACATTCGACCTGATGCTCTTCTCACGACTCCTACAATAGTTAACAATACATGTTAATCACAATACACTACCTAAAGTTTCTTTAATATTTCACATTTATCATCATGGGTCACGACTCAAATATTCTCACATTATATACCCCAAACACGGTATATACAACTAAATTATTTCTTTACCCCCATTTTAGCGCTTGCACCCTGTACAATCTAACCTACAAAACACTACGGTCTCTTGGCCCCAGTAACGGGCTCCAAACTTAACATCAACACACTAAACATGTACGAGCCTAAGTCTAGCCGCAAAATAACGTTTCGTTGCCCCTAAGCAACCACACCCAATCACGTTCCCCACTTTTTCTATTTACCTCACATACTACCTAACTCTACTGTCATTGCTCGGCGGCACCGAATTCGATACCCTCGTAATTCCATATTTATTACAACTCATATATACACGGAAAACCATACTTATGTAAGCTATAATTAACATGCTCAATGCCTACTCTCCACTATTACATTTAACATTCTTCTCGTTACTTCCACATGAACGCAAATCATTCGTGTCATTGCAGCAACTTCTCTACAACAAGCCATTACCGGTCTGACCATGTATTTTTTAGTTAACAACGATCACCTTTAACGTCTCATATCGCCATTAACTAATTTATACCAAAACTCGTGCCCCAACTTCGTTTCTACTTCCTATTATTTGTAATTCTTAGAAAACTTGCTTCCTGTTCACTCACTAATACTTGCCACCCTATATATATTTTTCATACATAACATTCTTATACAGCCACTACTACGCAAACACTTTCCCCCAAGTCCTTATTCCTATATTTAAAACATGCGTTTCTACAATCGTCTTCACTGACACATGCTACAGTTAACTATTTGCGCAAAGTAAATCCGCCCAGACAAAACTGCTCCGAAAACCCAACCCAAGCGTCTTAATCCCTACACCACGGGTACTGCAATTATACTATATATTTTGGGACTTTACCCAATTCTTACACCATACCAACGAATTATAAACACCACATTCAGTTCTGTGTTCTATACGAGAGGCATTAACCAACCCAGCCACGGCTCATCTCATACCTGGCTCACATTATCAACCTCCTCTAAAGTTACTTCTTACGTGAACCACAGTCATACACGTCACACTCAGAACCCGGCATAATTTTGTACTCATTCTTCATGCCTCTCTTCACCTAAGGCTAATTATATCAAAGAGTTAACGAGTGCCATAATACATCACCCTCGTACGGCCATATTCACTCATTCCCCCAACGGGGACACGCCATTTATTACTTTCCGCCTGACGCTGTAAGCAAACGTAATAAAGAGCCCCAAACCTTAACTATAAAATGTGTCAATTTTCATCTACACGTAATTAGCTACTTAACACGTACAATTTATTTCACATGTATACCCATACTGTAATCCGATTTCATCTCAAACCCCCAGACTCCTTCTCGTTTGTAAAACCCATTCTCACTTAAAATGTTTGAACTTTTACCTCGGTTCTATTGTGTATGAATGTTCTAAGCACTTACTACACAAAAACAACCTAACGTGTATTCATTTTACTATTCTTTTATAATGGATACTTGCGTTCAAATTTACGTATAATCCTATTGACACTTCAGCCTACAACACTTACGATGCACCTCTGCCCCCCACAATCAAAGCGTCCACACCACAAGAGTAGTCTTACCAGTACTACAAGATTTCACGTCAACAATTAACATTCACCTTTACTCTGTAGAAGGGACGGCTCGAATCTATCCACGCCTCTTGTGTACAAGAAGAAAGCAACCAACAGCCTTCAGGAAGATATTTTATAACTTGCAGCACCAAACATCTGCTAGACGCGCGTCTTGTCCCACAACAGGCCACGCTCTGCTACTTATCACCTGCAACACGAGGGGGAAGTCACTGCCTACACACAATATAATTCTCATTTATTCTACAAAATTTTCATTAAAACTATTCTTTCTGAAATACTGATGGGAGCCTATTCTATTTAAATCGTTCCTTTTAAGGGCATCTTGGTATCACATTCCTCAAAAACCTTGTGACTCAGTTACAACCAGTGCGCTGCCAACCGCTCAGGTCATACTAAATTAACAACTAACCACACTAAATGTCCACTCAACTGCATAACATACTAAAAACCTACCCCATCTACCTACTATTTTAAGACTAAAGTAACACCTTTTTTGGGGTTATTAAGTCATATGGCCTAATAACGCCATATTTTGGTTATATACCCTAGTAATGCAATGCCTCAAACCTGCCCATTATGAACATCTATCTAAAATGTTCCAGTTAAATTACGTAATGATTATTTTAACTACATCACTTACTTGCCTCGGGTCGATTAGCTCCATAACTACTTGGTCTTTCTAGTACTAAAGTCTTTTACTCCACCGGGACATCTGCACGTCCACACTTCAATCATCGTTGAACGTCAAGTCTCCGCCACTTTGCTGCCTCTCCAGTCGCCTCATTTTCACCACACACGATCTCATGTTCGCCCTACAAATATATTTCAGATTTTATCTTAATCAATATGCACTGCGTACTTTCAAATTTATATTTTAGTACTGATTATTAGTCAACTACAATAATATCAGCCTATATACCCACGAGAGGTGATATACAGCTGTAAAATTTGATATTTTTGCATGTTGACGTTGTACTAGGTAATCGAGTGTACACTAGGGTCTCTTGGCCCCAGTAACCCCCAAAAGGTAACCCCACGGGGTCAAATGGTTTCAACAGACACCTAACACTAGCACCTACCCCCGTTAGGTCTAGGGCCAAAATAACGTTCGCTTCCGCCTCAACGAGCAGGTCGACTCAACAGCCAATCACGTTCCACGTTTTCAATTGAAGTCACATTCTCGCTACCTCTACTCTCATTGGTCGGCTCCACCTGATTGGACACCCTGGTAATTCATCATTATTATTTATTCAAACTCAAATATATCAAGGAAAAGGTATACCCGCTTCTCCGTGTAAACACACGTCTCTGTTTACTTTCCTCATGGACTATGTTTAGGGCTAAAAGTATCCCTGCTGCTTGCTAATCAATTGTTGTTACGTTACTAACCATCGGCTACATTAACGACAATAACCTTTATCCAACTTCTGACAATTTCTTCACCATATTAGGCTGCCCGTCCTTATAAATGGAAGACAATTATTCATTAATATAGCCGCCAAACGGACATTTGTATGAAAAACAATGTTTTACATTCGAAACAACAGATGACTTTCCAACACTTCGCAAACAACTACGTCCTAACCACTTTTGTTCCAACGCTATAAATGCTTCACCCACGTGAACACAACCATTGCCTAAATATACATACGATGATAAAATATAACAATATTAATTTACATTTGACAAAATTCCTATTCTGAATGAACACAATGTTAACATTGATGAATGACGCAGACGCGTTTTAACGTGACTACGTGATCCTCGCGGTCGATGCATCAAGTCAGGAACATCCACCATGGGGGGCCAAAGTCACGGGAAGAGGCTGCACAGAGCTCTTCGGTACAGACGGTGCAACCGCACAGGAGTCGGCCGGCAACATAGCGGGCAGAGTCGCGGGGGACACAATCACAGAGGGCGAAGCTGCAGGGACCGACACCACAGGGGGCGGAGTAACAAAGGACGGCTGAGCAGAGGGCAACGGTCGGCATCACCGAGGCCAGATGCGCGGAAGGCACAGACATAGACGCCACAGACACGAGGGTCGCCGCAACAGAATCATTCTTAAAAACCGGCATCAAGTCCCCGTAATCTCGGCCGGTGCCACAACTCGGGGAACTAGGAGAAGACACCGGACCAGGGCCAGGCGACAATCTCACCGCTGCAACACGGCCCACGGGAGCCGCAGCCACTCCAACAGCATCACCCACATCACCATCCATACAAGACGAACTTCCGGAGTCCCCAAAATCCCTGACGTCGGCCCAGGCCCCATCACGAGGCGGAGACAGACTCAAAACTCGCCGCGAACGCTTGCACACAGGTCGCAGGTCGTCGGAACTATCACCCCCGCCAGGAAGCACCGTAGCAGAACCACTAGTCGGTCGCGCACGATCACTCAACAACCCGGGGAAGAGGACCACACACCGCAGGAGACATCACAGTCTGCACGTCGACACGGGCCGAACACACAACACCTGGAGACAGTACACGCCGATGCGCAGCCTCGACGTCCGGAGGCACGAGACCACACAACTGGAGACGAGGCAGGCAGGGGAGGCTGAGGTGCGGGAGCCGGGGATGCACTAACTTCCATTTCGACAGCCACATCAAGGCTGCCATCACAGACCGGCAACGGGACACCAGACAACTGGGAAGTATCACTCATCACAGCAGCATCTTCCGACAGGTCCGGGACCGCCAACGGGGCAAAGTCATCCTCCTTGAAGAGGCTCGCATCACAACCCGCAGCCTAATGGCCCAAGAGTCCGCACCGGAAACAAGTCCGGGGTTGACCCCCATACAATACGCGTACCATGAAGCCCAGAAACAAGAGAGACGAAGGGATGGAGTCCTTCAAATGCAGCGCCACAGTGCAGGTCCCATTCGGGATACCCGTCCACCGCCCGGAGGAGACTGCATTCATCCGGACACTCAAGACCCGTCCATACCGGGTAAAGTGACGCTGGAGAAGACAGTCAGGGAGCACCATGAAATGCCACATAGGTAGTCTCACTGCACCTCTCCGACACTTCCACAGCCCTCAGGCAGAGTAAACGTCCTGCCGTCATAGCGGTCCACAAAGTCACGATACACGGCCGTGGAGCACAATTTCACTACAGCTCGATGCCCGGATACAACTTAAACGCCACATCCACCCGCAACATGTCAATCATCACCACCTCAACTGCCGGGTAAGACGCTGGGCCAGTAAATTCTAGTCCAATGGTATCCCTCCGCTTCACAGGGGGGGAGGGGGGCCGCTACGGCCCCAAGGGTCCGCTCACAAACACAAACTACTACGGGACAGCAAATCAGGAGCTCACAGGCGACACGTCCACCTCCGCCCAGAGCGAGGCGACCACTCTCACTTTCTGCCTATTAGTCACATGTCAACTATATCTCACATTTAACTCTCATGAGTACACTTGCCAGTACCGTTATCATATGTCACCATAATAACACATTCTTTGTCAATTCGGCTCATATACTTTACTTCTACTAAATTTTCACCACGATGCTATCATACAAGGTTAACTCCCCACACAACACAAATAATTACCTCACTTCTCCATTCATTATGTACTCCCAACATTTTGAACAATGTATCCACAATTCCCTCAATGAATGCAAGACCTCAACATTCATATACACTGTTATGCGTATGTTTAACTGCATAAAAATACCCTACAAGGCTTTCATATGTATTTTATTGCCTCAATAAACGTGTGGACTTGAGTCGAGGACAGGTTGCATCTCTATTACAAAACAAGAGGGGGGAGCATAGGGTGGCAGTCGGGAGGGTCAAAGGACTAGCTGGGTCTGGGCCCATTGTTGCGGGGGAAACAGAGCCTGGTCTTCCAACACACTTCGACTCGGGGGACTGGTCGCCCATCCCCACGAGCCTACAAAGTTATAAGACCATCATTCAGCGGCATACAAACGAGTAGGTAATATTTTCATTCCTGATTCACTCCCCATACCCACCATTAGAGGATAAGACACCTGACAAGACTGGGCCTTCCCAAGGGTGCATCGTGAGTATACGGCCCGCAGTCGCCACCTTAAGAACCATCAGTTTGTCGAGATTAGGTTCAGCAACGAAACCGAGAACTGACAATAAAAGCTCGCAACGTCTGGTACCACAGTTCTACGGGTGAGTGCGCGCGCCTATCCAAACACCCGGCCTTCAAAACATATGTCCAAAACAATTATGAAACATGGCAAAACGTCCGCGGGAAAAACAATGAGAAAGGAGAAGAGGGAGAAGAAAAAATGAAAGATAAGCAACATGAAGAAGCCATCCAGCATACTTAGTGAAGACGGCAGCAGGAGCATAAGCCTTCAAAAGGACACAGCACTGCCCCCATGGAGCATCACCCAACAGCTGCCCACCAAGCCCCTTCACGACGACACCGAGCTTTAAAGAGATAGGAATAGCTTCAAGTAAGTATACTTTAGTTATATCTAACCTTTGCGTAAGGAAATGTATCTGTTACAGGGTTAAGAAAACGCATTTCTTTTTAGTCTCAATACTATATTTCTGACTTAGTATAATCACATTCACTGTTAAGGGCAACCATAGTGTTAAGCGCAGGTGGGGAAACGTTGCTTTCTAAATATATATATATACAATATACCTAGCAGAGTCATGTTCAACAGTGACGCGGGGGGCTCTCTGTCCACCGAGTGAAGCCTAGCTCACCCAATGCGCGCACACCGCAACCTTCATATCTTGTAGTTACCAAAATATGACACAACATATATAGAATTTATCTCTGCAAGAAAATAAATAAACTCTTAATACATTATTCGTCATCCACCACTGTCAATATTTGGTCACTTGCACAGGATGTTTTACTCAGCGCCAGAGTAGACTCAAGATAAATAATGCCAGCTTTACGCTGTCCAGCAAATCCAAAGTAACATCTCTCAAGCTGCATGTATTAACTAACCTGGCCACCACTCTTGAAACTTTTGTCACATATATATATATATATACACAGATGAAGACACAAGTAAGATATTTAGACAAACTTATTACAATCTCGGGAAATTTGATTTGTACAACTACCAACAAAAGATTACAGTGAATTACCTCAAAAACTATTTGAACGACCTTTATTCACAATTTGGCCTTCATATAAACATCTTCAAACAAACCCTTGCATGTTGACATCTCCTCTTGAGAGTGTGTGTGTGTGTAATTTCAAAACAAATTTGTGCTACATTCGACCCAAATTTGTCTGCAATGTATTCAGTAAATATATTTTTGGGTACGCCTACAAAAACGTCCATATTCATATGTCATTTCCAATGACAAACAAAGAAATAATTGGTCCTGAGTAAATGCCAGACAGTAGTTGAGAAATGTCAAGACGGACAAAGAAAACTTGTACATGAAGAGTAAACCTGAAAAATGACTCTAACCTCAGGCACGGATACAAGAGAGCTAAACACACTGTCTTTGATCAGAGTGTAATGAAGACATTACTTCACCCACCAATACACCCAAGTAGAGATAGGTTCATATAGGGGAGAGAGGTGCTGAAAATGGCAAGGGGAGTATCCCAACTCTCTACCTTAGGAGGAGAAAAGGTAATAGTGTCAATAACTGTGCCAGAAGAAACAGCAAGATTCGTGTTACAGACTTCAGGCCCACAAAACGAGACTGGATTGGCAACAGTTAATCAAGAGGCCTAAGAGCGGTAGGTTATAGTAATGGGCCAGACAGAATAGGAGGAAAAAAATGCCTGAGTGACGCTTAGCTATAGACAGTGTGTGACGCGCTGTCACCCCTCGATACAAGCCTAACGTGTACTAACTGCACATACAACTGCCTTAACGTGCCCAAGGGCATGCCACACATGACATACCCTTAGTCACTACTCACTCCAGCTCCTCCACACACTTCACCTAATAATTAATACTCCAGTCGTTTGGCAAAGTCATATCAAGGAATTGAAGTCGCGTCGCGCCTCCAAACACCATGTCAGTCACCGCGTATTTAGGTTCTCGGTCACATTACTGTTGGCAAAGAAAACTTCAACAATAGGACACTCACATTAAAACTACGAGAAGGAAACTCAACTACTCATCTGCATCCTTAGACCCTGCTGGATGTACCAAGTGGCTGAGAGGTTCCCTTGGTGTCTGATGTGATGCTTGTGACCGAGATGTGACACTGGTAGTTGGGATGTGACACTGGTAGCTGGGATGTGACACTGGTAGTTGGGATGTGACACTGGTAGCAGACATGTGACCTGGCAGCACAGAGATGACACTGGTTGTTACGGTGTGGTGCACGAAGGCTTCTCTCATATACTGTCCAAAGCAGTCAGATTTCATCAACATTTTATAATTTAGCTGTGATCGACCTGCACTACATAAAATATATATATATACTCTGTATGTATAATACTGAGTATACATTATTTTTCAACATTGAGGCTGTTCGTACAGCTTCAATGTTTATTAGCAGACTCATCACTTTATTGAGATTTTTATTGTGCACGTTTTGAGAGTTAATATTATTGTTCACGTCGATTGAAATAGAACACGAGAGGGCCAGCAACACATGGTATGACACACGGGTCTTACAGAGGCAACACATCTAATGTTCCTTTATGCTCCTCCAGTCACTGGACATTTCTCTACATCAAACAATTAGGAAAAAAATACAGTGTAGATACATACATCTCCAGGAGACCAGCTCTTTGGATTCACCCAGAAGCGAGTGTACAATAATTAAAAGGACAAAAACAAAAGTATATGAAACATCTGGTGTAAAATCAAAGTCAAAATGATAGACACACTCTTGCTTAGGAATTGAGAAGATGCTCTCAGAGCCACATACTATAGAAACAGAGATTGTAAAAGTTGGTTGCTTGCTTGCCAAGTGTCTACACAACAAATATAAACAGCAAAATACTTTTTTTTTCCCAAAAATGTTCAATAGCTGCCCTGTGCGAATGTTAAGTTAAGTGAAGGCAGATTCTGGTGGCAAGGAGGAAGGACACTGACAGTCAGACTGGGACTCTGTAGAGTGCCCCACACACACACTGAAAAACTGATACACGACGCCGTCTTGCCAGCCAACAGAAGGGGCGCACCAACCACAGACAGGGGCCACAGCCAACTACAGATACAGTGCAAGTGCTAGCCACCAAAGCTACAATATTTTCGTCACTGATACAATGGACATCACAAAACTAAACTTAAGATTTAAAAACCCTGTGCTTCATCACATAAATATAGGTTGATTTTTTTGTTACATTGTAGCATATCTTTGAACACAAATAAGACTTAGTTTAGCATAAAAATATTCCATAATCTACTTTTATTTTAATTTCTTATAACAAGATATAAGCAGCTGCGTAAATTATAAAGCAATTTATTCTCATACTCTGACAATTTTAGCCAAAATAACAACAATTAGGATTATTTGTACGAATATGATCTGTGATCATTTAACACTGAGTTTACTGGGAGCCTAATTACAAATTTATAATATGCAAATGAATCACATAGAGCTTTTGTTCACTAGTTAACTGCTTTCTTCTGCCAATCAGAATGATACAGGTTAAGACAGTGCAAAGAGCCTCTGAAGACAGCTACTACAGTGTAATACTGGAATGTGTCCGGGGGCATTCGGATTCTGCTAACTAGGCAAATGTTTCAAACTATGTTGTGGATAGTCAGTTTGCTTGCTCAGGGGGAATGGGGGTTAGTGAGGCGATGCAACACCTCTCCTTTCGGCGCCGGGATAGTTATTGTTCTGAATGGTGAGAATCTCTACGACATACTTGTGTGTTTCTGTGAGATATCTTTTGTGTAGGTCGGGTACTGCATGCGAATATAATGCACATGTGGTGTTCCTTGTGTATTATTAATGTGAATGTATACATTATGTACTACGATTGTTTATGTGTATATCTATTTCCAGCGTGATTGTGCATGTCTATTTGTAGGATAATAAACTTGAGTGTGTTGCCATCATCCCCTCTGTCTTAATTGCAAGTATTTCTTAAAAGAAAGCACTTGGCTAAGTTGGCTATACTGTATAGCACTGTCCAGTCTTGATGACAAATTTGCTCTACAAATACATGTACTAATATTAATTAAATGTGGTTTCTGCCCTCAGCTAACATACCTTCACCCGCAGAAAGTACTCTCGCTTTTTTCCCCTTTTATAAATCACTCAGACTTGATCCAAATTCATAGCAATGCAGTTTAAATTATTACATTTACATACACATGTGAAAATTGTGAACCTATTCTTTAATGCATTTTCCCCACAATATTATTTGATCCTACGTTTACGACAATTTAAGTTGAGAGTCGTGTTTCTCAGATTTAAAAAAAATTGTAATTGAAACATTTCCAGATAATAATCATCATTATCACTGCAAGTGGTGTTACAATCAGCACAATAATATACATTTACAATAGTATTACAGCATCCTTGTGGCATGTATTTTTCTTTAAATCACAAGACAAAAATGAAAATACATTTTCCCAAACATCTCATGGATATCAAAACCTTTCTAATTCAAATAAGATGTACCTGCATCTCTTATTTAAGGAAAGGCTAACATCTTGATTTGCCTGCACACAGCTACATCTAAATAAATTCATCCATTTAGGTGTTGTGTCAAGGTGCTCAGACTTTCATGATGGCTGCTACATCTGCTTCAAATGATATGATAAAGTGACAAAAGATAAAGCTAATGCACTTTGTGTTTATAAACAAAAACCAATTTCTTCGGATTTAACTATTCTGACTAATCTCTCCTGGTCTCGAACAGACACCTGGTAACTGAAATAACCATCTAACACCCATATAATTGGTCTGCCTAAGATGGGGAGTTAAATGTCCAACTGACTATCTTCTGCCAACCTGTCCTCCTACAAAGAACGTCGTATTTCGATCGTTTGCGTTACACAAGGCCAAAAATGATCATACTAGAAAATGGAAGCGGCTGGCGAAAGTGACGTACTGTCCCGTTTTGGGTCTTGTGGTAGGTTAGGAGAGACCACTTTAAATTGACGACCGTTTTCTTGACGTTGGGAAACTTTAGGAGGACGGGCTGCTTATGCACCCTATATGCTTTTGACGCTTATTAATACGCTTGAACCAGTTCTACTAATTCACTTCACACATAACGTGATATTCTTAGCAAACTCACCAAAGTCCCTTTGATCAAGAACGTGTGGCGACTCTTCAACTTAAGGCTATGTATCGCCTCATGAACTTGTCTAAGGAAGTTTGTCTCATGCTGCTAAAAAGCCAAAGCTTGATCTTTTGTCATTGGTAGTAAATAAGAACATGTGAACACAAATTATCCAATGCTTCCTTATCAATAACAAGCATAAACTCTATACCTTAGATTAAGCAATTTATAAGTAAACAATTTTGCAGTTTCCATGAAGGTTGGTCTTAAACTGACATATATATAAATATTTCTATAGAAAAAACATGGATTACATATTTCTATATAAAATCTGTAAATATAACCTCATTCCATTTATACTCTTTGCTTGAAATCAAAACAGCACAGCGAAAAGATAAACACTTACAGTGTATAATATTTATGATAAACTTGTAATGCATTATTCATTAACAGTGGGGCTCATTTGGTACATGTTGAGATGAAGAAATTAATAAGCAACTGGTGGCAGGTATTAGGAGGGTGTTCCTTATCAATCAAATCTCTACAGAACATTAAAACAAAAACACACAGGAAAGCATATTATTTATCCAAAGATAAAAGCTATCACTATTTGCATATTTAAGAGTGTCTGTCTTTCTCAGGATCTTGGCTATCTTCAACACGAATAATTGCAATTCTTGGTTATCCCCAACAATATGAAGAGCTCAACTGCTCATAAATTTAGATTATTGAGGATCTACAGTTATTCTGGACCCAAACTCTTGGGCATTAGGATCTTAGTTACCTAACACCCAAGGTCTTAATTCCTAGTAATCAGGACTTGAAGGCAACATTGTATTTGTTATTTAGCGCAAAAAAAAACTACTAAAAAATAAAAATAAACACATCCTAACTGTTGACATTAAAAATCACACACCCCATATATATACCTATGCGACAGTGTAGCGATTATGAATGCTGAAATTATTCACATTTATATTGTTTGTGTGCCATATATAAAAAGTGTTTCAACTTTAAAATAAGCAGATATGTAAAATACTCCCTGAAACATAAAAATAATTCCTGTATTAAATTATCATCAATATTATGCTGAACAAAACTTTTTACAAGGACAATTGGAGACTTGTAGATCATGTGACATGATACCCAGATCCTGGCCATATCCCTGTTGGCATGCTATGTAAGTATTGCAAAAGCATATACATATATTTGCATTACTGAAAAGAAAGTAATTTTCCAATTAAAAATGACTGAAGCATTGGATTATTATCTGACGACTTGCGACACAATTTCTGTGATCAATAAAGACAACAGCAAGTGTTTGAAATCATCACAGAAACATTCTAATGACAATCATAACAATTACATGAGCAGTTATTAAATCAAAATATATCTTAGGCTGTTAACATGAGGATTTACGCACGCCTGACACACTTTCTACTCAACAAAATGACTGGTCCAGCAATGATCACTTTCATACACATTTCAAACACTAGCCCAGAAGACAAGCACAGCTTCATATCACATTCACTGAAGAGACTTGTATGAGGATACTTTTAAAATTGAGTTAAATATACATATATATATATATATATATATATATATATATATATATATATATATATATATATATATATATATATATATATATATATATATATATATATATGGTACTGTTTGAGAACGAGGGGGAAGGGGTTCGGCTTAAGCTTTGCCTGCATTCTGTGCTGGTCTAAATTAAGGGGCGTCAGAGAAAAGCCACATAGGCCTAAGTGCGCCTGGTCAAGCAATGCTGTTAGACTCATTATCCCATTCGCAACACATGATAATACGCCCTTACAGCATTGCTCTGTTGATGCTCATCACTTGACATATTATGCTTTGTTTAACTAAGCTAATATATATATATATATATATATATATATATATATATATATATATATATATATATATATATATATATATATTTATTAGATGTATTGAGCCACATATACAATATTATACAAAGAGATCCTACAGATACCCACAGCAACAAACTGGTGTATTGTACATAATTTCTGCTGAACTAAAAACCAAAATATATTACCATTACAAACAGTATCTCGGGGAAATTCAAAAGTTACCTACTTGACCATCTTCTATCAAACAATATGAACGAGTCCCACAGTTCCGGAAGGGGGGGGGGGGAGGGGTGTTTTAGAAAACATTAATGTCAAACAGCCCACTACAACCGACAATCCGAACAGGCCCCCCCTCACACCGGCCTACGACACCAGAGTGGGCATGCATGGAAAAGTGGTAATGCCGCTCTTCATTTGGATGCTCAACTAAATCCATTAACATTTTGGAAATAACCAAACACACATTCACAAAAAACAAGCCTAACGCCTTAGATATATACATTTTCTTATTAGCATTTTCCATCATCGTACTCATTTGAATAAATTTCTGGTTACTTTGAGGTTATAATATATTAAAAAAAAGGAAATAAAAAAGTACTGTACGAGCTGGGCAGCAAATGTGCTAATAACTCTGATTTAATTACCAAAAAATCCTCAGAGGAAAGAAATTTCAAACTGACATTACCTCAGTTTCCTTGTATACTCCACCAAGCCACAGTCACACACATTAATCCCTACGCCCGCCACCACTACAGACTCTGGCACACAAGCCCTCAATGGCACTCTTTCCACTCTTACTATGCCAGCAATGTGTTTCTCTGTTGTTTTAAGGGGTTGGGGGGTATCGGATTTTTGTTGGGATGAAACTGCTGCAATACTGTGCTTACACAACTATCTTACATATTTTTGGTATTTTTTTTTACATTTCTTGTTGGTTTAGTTGGGTGCAAAGTTGCTGATAGGTGGTGGGACAGCAGTGTGGTGGAGGCGGCGAGCTGTGTGATGGTAGGCCTACACTAGCAGAACATGTAGCTGAGCTTTGTGCTGGTACTTTAGGCCTGCAGGAAGGGCAGCTGGTGGTGTGATTGCAAGTGGAGGTGGTAATACAATCTTGCTGCTGCACTTTGCATATCTGGCACACAAACACTCACATGTACATACAGACAAAAGCACGTGTGTACACACGCATGCTTGGGTGTGTGTACATGCAAAATAATATACAGCAGAAATGGACTCACACACACGTACAGGCACGCTCAGATGAACAAGAACACACACACACATATGCCATGTCCTGATACTCAGCACTCTTAATTCCAATTAAGATCTCGTATAAAGCCATCTACGATTACATCACAACACTGCCATTTCTGTGTGGTCACTGTGCGCTTGTCGTCGTCATCATTTGAGCGGTTGGGAAGCCCTCCAGCGGCTGATACTTGGCTCGGTCTTGTTGCCATCAACACAGCAGTAGCAGCAGCAGCTGGGGTATGGAGCGGGTGAAGGGAATCTTGGGTCGCCCCTCTCACTCCGGCTTGAGACGGTGCCACTGAACTACGTTTTGCCGTGGCTTCGTGATCATATCGCTCCAGTGTTTGGTCTCGGAGGTGCCACTGCCAGCCTTGCCTGCATGGATGCACCATACGATTTCAGTAAAGTACATAAGCTAATAATTAAACATCCATACCAATACAATAATATTTCTTAACCATTAAGCTGCTAACGATGCTTTGAAACGTTCTATGGCACTTGGATATATGTTGCTAACTAAATGAACAGTGTGGTCATGCCAGTGAGCAAAATTGGGTTCTATTTGTGAATTCATACAACCAATCAGTAAGTAAGTAATTATCAATACAACTCACCAAACCGGGAAGGCTATGTAGCGCCATCAAATGTGCAGGATAATCAGAAGGCGCAAAATATCACCAAAGATGCCAATACGAGAACAGAAACGCATAAGGCCAACGATATCAAAAGTATCTGAGTCACCAAGAATACTATCGAGGGACAAGCGACCGTGGGGGACCGTCGGAAAACAAGACACATGCTTGTCCCGAAAGTCAGGACATTCAACAAGGATATGCATGACCGTAAGAGGAACAATGCAATTTGGACAATAAGGAGCAAGGCGGCGCTCCATCAAGTGACCGAGAGTTAAGCGAGTATGGCCAATATGCAACCTCGCCAAAGCCATTTCCCTTCACCGGTTACGGTGGTAGGAGGGCGGCCACAAGGACACACAACTCTTAAGAGTACACAGTTTGTTTCTAGTAACAGAACACCAACAAGCCTGCCAACGGGTAAGGATGGAGGAATGGATAACCTGGTAAAAGTCGGAATAAGGAATACCTTTACGAGACATGGGACAAGAGTGGACAGCTTCCCTGGCGGCAGCCTCCGCATGCTCATTTAAAGAGACACCAATATGGGTGGGAACCCAACAAAATTCAACCGACTTAAATTTACTGTGATTAAGAAACAGCCAATGCTGGATCTCGACAACCACTGGATGAACCGGATTAAAGGACCTGAGAGCCATGAGGACACTACGAGATTCAACAACAACTACAAAGGAAGATTGACAACGAGAAAGCAGGAGACGGAGAGAATAGCATAAAGTTCCGCTGTGAAGATACTAGTCTCCGGAGGTAGGCGACACATATAAGTGCAATCAGGAAAAACAACAGAGTAGCCTACACCGTCCGCAGACTTAGACCCATCGGTGAAGACGGAAACGGAGTGGAAGTGAGAAGAAAAATGCTCAAGTAAACGCATTTTAGAACCATAGGAGGGGTAAAAGATTTAGAGATGCGGGTTAAGGATGTACAAAACTGCGGAAGGGGGACTCTCCATGGGGGCAAAAAAGGAACAACACGAGGAGAATATTAGAAATACGAGCTGAAAGAGAATCTTGTAAGCGAGATAACCGAACAGAAAGAGGGAGGTTGTGAAGAGGAACAGGAATGGCAGGAGGGGCAAAAGTTAAAGCACGACAGAGGCGAGAGGAAGGATGTTGCAAGGACCGTGCAAGATAGCAAAGACAGTAGCGATCATGGCGGTCCTGGAGAGATAGGAAGCCAGTGTCAACATACAAGCTGAAGACGGGAGTCAAACAAAATGCACCAGAACTGAGGCGCAACCCAGTATGGTACAAAGCATCAAGACGGCGAAGAGTAGAAGGAGAAGCAAACGAGTAAGCAGGGCAACCATAATCGAGCTTAGACAGGACGAGAGAGAAATATAAAGCGAGTAGAGTGCGCCTATCAGCTCCCAAAGTAGTATGGGGCAATACCCGAAGGAGGGGTAAGGGCCTTAGAGCATTCAACACGGAGGTAAGAGATATGGGGCGACCAACACAAACGAGTGTCAAAAATCAACCCCAAAAGCTTAGCGGAATCCTTGTACACAATGGGGTGACCATAAAGTGACAAAGAAGGAAGAAGAACGATACGTTTCTGAGTAAAAGTCATAGCACAAGTCTTAGACATAAAGAACCTGAAGCCATGATCATTGGCCCAAGACGACATGGCATCAATCACAAGTTGAAGCCGGCGTTGAAGAAGAGGCGAATCATCACCCTGACAGCAAAGGGTAAGATCGTCGACATAGACAGCGGAGAAGACGCCTGAAAGAAGAGAGGAAAGAAGACCATTGAGGGCAACCAGAAAGAGAGTAGTGCTCAGAACACTACCCTGGGGCACACCTTCGTATTGCTGAAAAGAGGCAGAGAGAGTGCTACCAAGGCGCACCCGAAAGGAACGACGAGAGAGGAAGCTGAGGAGAAAGAGAGAGAGAGATGACCACGAAGGCCAAAAGAATGAAGTTGGGATAGAATATGATATCACCAAGTGGTGTCGTAAGACTTCTCCAGGTCAAAAAGGACGGCAACAACGGAGGTCTTCGCAGCAAAAGCAGTACGAATATAGACTTCCAAGTTCACCAAGACATTTGTCGTGCTGCGGCACTTGCGGAAACCAAATTGAGAGGGGGAGAGGTGGTAATGGTGTTCTAAGAACCACATCAGACGAACGTTAACCATACGTTCAAAGAGTTTGCACACACAACTTGTGAGGGCAATAGGGCGAAAGTCCTTAGGGGACGTTCCCAGAGACCCTGGTTTGCAAACAGGAAGGACAACAGCATCGAGCCAGTCCTCAGGGACTGACGACGACTCCCAGATCCGATTATACAGACTCAGTAAATACTGAGACGTGCATGGAGGGAGATCGTGAAGCATCTCATAATGAATGCCATCGGAGCCCGCCGCCGTAGAACCGCTGAGGGCCAGGGCAGACCGAAGTTCAGAGAGAGAGAAGGGATCGTTATAGGGAAGGCGAAGATGACTACAGAAATCCAAAGGACAAGATTCAAGGACAGGTTTACGAAGAAGGAAAGATTGGGGAACATGAAAACCAGTTTGGTAGCGACCTGCAACGGGTCCGCCACAAGAGTACCACGGAGGTGAAAGACCGGTGAGACATCGGGAACGAACTTACACGCTTCCAGATCTGCGGCAGAGGAGTTTCGGACGTGGTGGTGAAGATATAAGACGCCCAACATTCACGTTTAACCGTAGGGATGGCCCTACAGGCTACCGCACTCGCCTTCCAAAATAAAAGAAAAGAATCGGCCAGCGGCGGTGTCTCTTCCAGGCTGCACGCTTACAGCGGACAGCCCGAGCACAGTCTGTATTCCCCCAGGGAACGCACTTCCGTGGGCCCCGAGAGGATGAGCGAGGAATAGAGCGGAGGGTAGTGTGGAAGATGCTGTCATGAAAAAGGAGGAGAGAGCGAGGGAGAGGTCAGAGAGAGCAGCGCTGAGGGTAAATAGGTTCCAGTCTGCCTTAGCAAACTGCCACCTAGGGAAGGAGAGGGGAGGGTGAAAAAGGTAACAAGGATGGTGAAATGCTCACTGCCATGGAGGTCATCAAGAATCTGCCACGTGAAATCTACGTAAAGAGAAGACGAACGAACAAAGAGAAAGATCAAGACAGGAAATGGTGCGAGTCCGAGAGTCCAAATGCATGGGCTCACCAGAATTCAGAAGAGACAGGGAACAAGAGAGGATGAACGGAAATCCACCAGCACTAAGATATATTGTGAATATGAAAATAGTCTATTACTTTTTATTTGGCAAAGCTGTGGATGCCAAAAGTTCTTCATCTCAGCTCTGCACCTTCAACTTGAAAATCTTCACGACTGGAATCCCTGAATAATACATAATAACACCGTGCTGGAACACCCCCCTACGTTTATTCCAGACTTTCCAGCATGCAAGAAGGTTGTGCGATTCCACGAGCTGGAAGAGAGATATAATATAACCGATACCAGAGAGTAAAGAGGAGAGCATCAAGAAGAAACCCACCCAACATGATCTTGCCAATGGCCTCATTGCGTCCAACTTTATCGTGGTCCATGATGGTGACGTTGAGCTGGCACTCCCGGATCCGCTCCCACGGGACGTCAAACATCACGCTGAAGTTGAACTCGGGGTTCAGCGTGCAGAACTGAACCTCTGATTTCTTCTTCTCTATCCGTTTCTCTCCGAAATACAGCCACACCTTAACGTAAGGATCTGCGAAGGAAGGAACAAGTCACCGACAAAGATCATAAATGAGACTTTGGAAGAGCCTGATAATCAAGCTACGCGCAGATGATGATGATGATGATGATGAAATAACGACGTTTCAATCCGTCCTGGACCATTATCAAGTTGTGTGCTAATCGTTCTTCCTCGCATACGATTTGATAATGGTCGAGGACGGACCGAAACATCGTCGTCTCCTCGTCTTCTGGTATGTGGTTTGGTCATATCTTCAGCCCCATTACTTATTTTATTTATTTATTTATATATACGAGAGTTATTAGATTCTTGTACAGCTGCTAGCACACATAGCGTTTAAGGCAAGTCCTTAATCCTAATTTTCACACACACACCCCCAGGAAGCAGCCCGTAGCAGCTGTCTAACTCTCAGGTATCTATTTACTGCCAGGTGAACAGGGGGGCATCAAAGTGAAAGAAAATCTGCCCATTTCTTTCCGCCTCCGCCGGGAACTGAACCTGGACCCTTGGGACTACGAACCACGAGCGCTGCCCACTCAGTCGTCGGTCCAGATGACATTGTGACTCATTAATTATTGTCACAATAATGAGTCTGCTTTGGAAGGACTGAAAGCAAACTATTTAGTGTTATATAACACGCGCCCTGACACCAATGTATTTCATCGAGGATTTAGAGACCAAGTCTCAAAAACAGTAATATTGGTAACTCTAATTTCTTTAATAATCTTATTGAGTAAAAGGCAGAGCTATCCAGTAAATATTAGCCGCAGACAATGGGAGTGTACTACATCGCACACCTTAGAAACCGCACAAGTTAGCCGGGAAAAATATATTAGGAGAATAAAATACTGATCGCGAGATAAGGGGTATCGAACTCCCTACCAACTGGACCATGATGAGCTTTTAAGGAGTTTGGGGATGCAAGTTCAATCCCAAAGTATAACTTCAACATATCACGTTCTTGAGTTTTTTTGTGCAATATACGAATTGCATTCTTGACGGTTAATCTCTGTAACGCTGATTATATATTTGATTATATATTCTATATATATATATATATATATATATATATATATATATATATATATATATATATATATATATATATATATATATATATATATATATATATATATATATATATATGTGTGTATATCACGAAAATAAACACGTGATTAGAATGTGACAATGTCAGACCACGGAGGAAAAATGAAACAGGAAATTTCCTTAAGTACTTTCGTATATTAAATACATCTGTGGTCTGACATTGTCATATATATATATATATATGTCGTACCTAATAGCCAGAACGCACTTCTCAGCCTACTATTCAAGGCCCGATTTGCCTAATAAGCCAAGTTTTCTTGGATTAATTTTTTTTGGTGTACCTTACCTAACTAAACTAACCTAACCTAGCTTTTTTTGGCTACCTAACCTAACCTTACCTATAAATATAGGTTAGGTTAGGTTAGGTAGGGTTGGTTAGGTTCGGTCATATATCTACGTTAATTTTAACTCCAATAAAAAAAAATTGACCTCATACATAGAGAAAAGGGTTGCTTTATCATTTCATAAGAAAAAAACTATAGTAAATATATTAATTCATGAAAACTTGGCTTATTAGGCAAATCGGGCCTTGAATAGTAGGCTGAGAAGAGAGTTCTGGCTACTAGGTACGACATATATATATATATATATATATATATATATATATATATATATATATATATATATATATATATATATATATATATATATATATATATATATATATATATATAAGTGTGTAGTAACAACAGCGCGCGCTGTTACTACACACTTATATGTGTAATACACTTTATGTATCATCAAAAAATACAGTACTGTAGTTTCGGTAGGACAAGAGTGTCCTTGGATGCATCTTGTCCTTGCACTACTGATGAGTCTGTTACCTAGCAGTATGTATGGATACGTTTTGGGAGTTAATTACCTCACAGTTACAGCCCATTATGTGCCAGGTAAGTCCACTACGGGCTCACCATAGCCCGTGCTACTTGCCCCGCTCCTATGCCAGGTAAGTTACGGGCTCACCATAGCCCGTGCTACTTGGAACTTGTTCCGAGTAGCTGAATCTATAACAACAACAACGTTAATTACCTGTTTTATGGGCTATTCATGCCCGTGCCACCTCTTGGGCGGCTTAATCTTCATCAGGCAATTACCTGTTAAGGGTTGTATGCTGCGGAGGGTCAACCCTTGACCAAGGGGAGGGCCCTAGGTGACCCCTTAGAGGCTTCTTGTCCCCAATAATGGGAAGCCATTTGGTCCAAAATACTAATTTGTTGATGGTAATTATATGCACAATCTTCAAAGAAAGTTTAAATGCAGCAGTTTCATTTTTGTTGTCATGAACATAATGATAAAAGAGCGAGACTTTTTTTTGCCATTGGACTTAACTTCTGGAGGGCTATTAAGGCCAACACAATAACAAATGACCAACCAGCCAGTGTACTTTAGTCTTTGGCCTGGAAGTTCGATTCCTGGCTTATATTACCTGATTTCCCGTTGATGTCTTTGGCCTTGAGGTTCCTGCACTTTATGACGGTAAGTGTGAGCTGGGAGGTCGAGGGTTGATACATCAGAGACGTCAGGATCTCTCCGCACTTGTTCTTCTCCAGTGGATGCAGCGCTTTCCAGAAAGTGTTGTTCTTCTCTGAGAAGTCTACCTGCGAAGTAAAGAGAGAAAATGTAATGAACAAATTCACATGGGCCATGACGAGGATTCGATCCTGCGTCCAAGAGCATCCCAGACGCTGCCTTAATCGACAAAGGCAGTTAGAAAACGTTTGAAAACGTTTTCTATGTTTAAAAAATGTGTTAGAAAACGTTATTGACACAAGGGATGGAATTTTCTTTGGACTTGGGAAGGGAAACTAAAATGGTTTCAAAGACGGAACTAAAATAAATCACAAAAATCAAAATCAAACTGTATATTCAGGTAAAAGTACATACATATTAGATGAATTATAAACATAATGATTTATAGATAGAGCTAATACATACAATACCTAAAGCCACTACTACGCGCAGTGTTTCGGGCAAGGTGTGGGGGAGTAAACTAAAGCTTAACTAAAGCTTAATACTAATTGCGATTAAAGTATATATTGGGTTGAAAAAGGGTTAAAAAAATGGGAGGGGACACATGGCAGATATCAGCAATTATACAACTTGTTCAACAAAAAGTATTGTTTGAAAATAGCAAGACATGGGTTGACATTTAGGGGGTAAGGTAGGTTACATGGAGTTTATTAGGTAGAACTCAGTTTTACTCTTACAATGGTTAAGAGAGGTACAGCCTTTGACATGATTGGGAAGGTCATTCCACATTCTGGGTCCCTTGATTTGTAGAGCATTTCTAGTTTGGTTAAGGCGCACTCTTGGAATATCATATAAGTATTTGTTTCTGGTGTGGTGCCCATGGGTTCTGTTACAACCTTTTAGGAAGCGTTTAAGGTCAGGATTGGCATTAGGGCAAGATCCACGAAGCAGTTAAACATGCACTTACGAACCTATACATCTTTTCTCAATCTTTGGCGGCTTTGTTTATAATTATTAAACAGTTAATGAGCTCTGGAGCACCAGGAGGCTGTTTATAACAATAACAACAGTTGATTGGGAACTTTCATGCTTGTAAACTGTTTAATAAATGCAACCAAAGGCGTCATAGATTGAGGAAAAATGTACACGTTCGTAAGTACTTTCGTAATTGCTTCGTGATTCTGGCCCCTGAGTTTTAACTATACAGAGTACACATGAGAGGATGTGCAGTGACTTAATATCCAACATATTCAAATATTTAAAAAAGGTTTACCGAGTGCTGTCTCGGGCCAGAACTATTTGAAAACTGCAAGGACAGTTTCTGAGAAAGAGGCATTCCAGTTTTTTGTTTCATTTCCAAATTCAACCGGAAAGTCTTGAGGCCTGATTTCTCTTTTATAAAAGTTCTGTTAAGAGGCAATTTCCTCCGAGAGCTTAATACCGGCGGCCAGTGGTGAACAGCCTCACGTAACGAACTTTGCCTAACTTTTTCTTATGGATTTAATCTGTATTTTTTTGGGGAACTGATGAACAAAGTTTTGTTCACAAGTTCTCTTAACACAAAGAATGGGGGAGCAGCAGTGAGGGCGGTCAATCTCGTTTGAAGAACAAATACACAAATAAAGAGTTTTATACACACAGGCACACACACACACATTTAAATAAGGAGACTTATAGGTCACTGTACACCGCCTATGTGCGATCAATTTTAGAGTATACTGCCCCAGCCCAGAACCCCATCTAAAAATAAATAAATAAATAAATAAATAAATAAATAAAAAAACGCACAACTCGTCTCGTCCCAGAATTGCGAGGGATGGCGTATGAAGAGAGACTGAAGGCCTGACGACGCTAGAATGGAGGAGAGAGAGAGAGTGGGGAGACATGATACTGACGTATAAAATAGAAGCCTGAGACCAAGTTGTGTCTTAAGGATGTTAGAAAGTTTTCTTCTAGCGTTTAGTGAGTAAATGGGATGACCTAAAGGAGCAGGTTGTAGAGGCAAACTCGATTCCCATCTTTAAAACCAATATGTGAATAGCTTAGGAGTTATTGCATTAGACAACCGGTGGCTAGAAAAGCGGAATCCAGGAGCTGGAACTCGGTCCTGCAGACACAAATAGATGAGTGCGCACACACACACACACACACACACACACACACACACACACACACACACACACACACACACACACACACACTGTCAAGGTGTCAACTTGTGAAAAGGGTAAACTTGTACACTTTTAAATATTAAATTGCAGAATATCATTTATTTTCTGACATGTGACTCTCGGGTTGAAATCTGCTGAACTCTGTAAATATTATCTGAATACTAGAACACTATGATATACCTGTAGTCTAGATATACCACATAATGCAAAAATTATGTAATATATGAGAAGCAATTAACTCATGAGTTTATATGAGCCCTTTAGTTGCCACTAGTGCTTGAATGGTCACTATGATCACTACAACTCACTATGTTCTCCAGAAGGCCCTCTAGCTCTGTCCATGTAAGAGACGTGAAAATGTGTATATATATATATGGGAGCCGGTCGGCCGAGCGGACAGCACGCTGGACCTGTGGTCCTGGGTTCGATCCCAGGCGCCGGCGAGAAACATTGGGAAGAGTTTCTTTCACCCTATGCCCCTGTTACCTAGCAGTAAAATAGGTACCTGGGTGTTAGTCAGCTGTCACAGGCTGCTTCCTGCTGGTGGAGGCCTGGTCGAGGACCGGGCCGCGGGGACACTAAAAAGCCCCGAAATCATCTCAAAATAACCTCAAGATATATATATATATATATATATATATATATATATATATATATATATATATATATATATATATATATATATATATATATATATATATATATATATATATATATATATATATATATATACATATATGCCGGTTAACATTAAAGAGCCCTTTGTGCCAGGTAAGTCCACTACGGGATCACCATAGCCCGTGCTACTTGGAACTTTTTGTTCTAGGTAGCGAATCTTAAACAACAACAACAACAGCCGCGGCATAATGTTTAAGTTCTGTGTGCTGTGAGACAGGACAGACTACCCTTTCAAAGCACATGAACCAGTTACACCTCACCGATCAAACAGTCAGCCCGCCCAAATGTTTGCCCCCACTATGTGATGCTATGTGCTCCCTATACACCTCTAAGGAGCATGAAGTGGTTGGGGGGGAGGGGTGGGGGGCAAGCAGGAGTGGCTATGGTACAGGGTATTGCTGTCATTCACCGCAGTCACACGTTGGGCTTCAAAGAGGTGACCCGCACAAATGCTTGCTTCCACACTGCCATGTGCCATGTGGGCATGTGCCCATGTGGCGACACTCTTCACACCTATGTCCTGGGTATGCGCCGCTCCTTAACGCTCTGGATGCTAGGTAGGGGAGGGGGAGGGAGGGGTGAGGATGGCCACCCACTTCTTTACAAAAACTATTATTCCTCATTGACTCTCATCTCATTTGCCGTCAAGACCTCCTAGCGGGAACACACCCTAAGGTCTGACATGTAACTAACGCAAGGCCTCATACCCACGATGAAAACATCGAAGGCAGGACACTTTGGGTAAGAATGAGTTTTTTTTTGGGTAAAAATATTACCACTTCACTCTCTCCTATCACCACAAAGCTACCACCTGCCCCTCCCTTAACCTCCTTCACATGCCCTTCCCTAACCACCCATCTAAAAATCCCGTTCTCCGAGGCTCGTCTCTCCATGGGAGGGACTCCCCCTCTACGCCCTCAACATATCCTTCCTACATACTTTTATTTTTAACTCTATGCAACATACTCACATATTTTCATCTTGCTACTATTGATCACCTGTTCCTATACTTACACTTTACACCCCCACGACTTACAACCCCCCCTCCCCCGGGCGTGGCCAGACACCCACCACGACCCACAACCACCCCGCGGGACCACACACGCGCCCCCGGGGTCCATCCAAAACCCCCAGAGACTAGAGATGTGTGCAACACCTGTGCAGTGGCTTAATTGACACACACCTGCAATTTGCAGTGACACAGGTGTTGCACACGGTTCTAGTCTCAATTTACCCTACTCTGCCAGACAGACAGGCACACACACACACAGAAAGAGAGAGAGAGAGAGAGAGAGAGAGAGAGAGAGAGAGAGAGAGAGAGAGAGAGAGAGAGAGAGAGAGAGAGAGAGAGAGAGAGAGACAGAGAGAGAGAGAGAGAGAGAGAGTGAGAGAGCGAGCCAGTGAAACAAAACAAGAGAGACAAGCTACAAATGCTCTCTCCGTCGTCAGCACTTGGGGGCCAAAAATCATCACCAGAAACTTTCTCTACTAATTTACTTTCTGTCAACGCGTTCAAGAAAATCTCACATGTTCCGAAAGTGTGTTTTAAAACATTAAGAGAAAAATTAAGCAAAAATAACCGGACAAGAGAAGTTTGTACGTTTCAAATTTCCATCACGATTTAAGACCGAGTCAACTTTTCTTCGTCCAAACATACCACAGAAGTCAGTAAACTTCCTGACCAGCGATCTGGCTCAGAGGAACAAAGTTTACACAAAAGTTTACATTTAGTTAATATAGACACCAAGACCTGAAGGAAATTGTGTTTCTGTGGTGCAGTGGTAGTACACTCGCCAGCAATTTTGTCTAGGCTCGAACACTAGGGCTAGGAGGATTGACCGGGCACCGATCTAGGTTATAAACCGAGTGGCGGATCTTGTTCCAGGGGGGTAAACCAGCAGTTCTATACATCATAACAGGAGTCAGAATTAGTCTCCTGCACCCACCTGTCTACGCAACAGTGAATATAATTGTCTGATGTTTCCATATAATGTAATATTATCAGGAGAAAGCGCCAAGTCATTACGACTATATAGCACTGGGAAGGGGTCAGGATAAGGATTTGGGATGGGACGGTGGGAGGGAAGGAATGGTGCCCAACCAATTGTGGACGGTCGGGGATTGAACGTCGACCTGCATGAAGCAAGAATATAGGAAGCACTGTGATCCCAAATTTTGTTAAATTTTGTTGACCAAATATGTGTGCGTGTGCGTGTGTGTGTGTGTGTGTGTGTGTGTGTGTGTGTGTGTGTGTGTGTGTGTGTGTGTGTGTGTGTGTG